AGCTCCCCAACCCCCTCTCTCCATACCCACGACAGCCACTACTCGCCTGCAGAACGAGTCGCAGCTTGCGGAACGAACCCTGCTTTCCCCCTTGTCCTCCCACTACTTCCCATCCCCTGCATTTTCCGGCTCCCACTCCCACTCCCACTCCCACTCCCACTCCCACTCCCACTCCCACTCCCACTCCCACTCGCACAAACTCTTCGCCAGCAAATCCATTCGCTTTGCTTCACTTTCTTCCCCTGCACTGCCCTCCAACCTTCCTCCCCTCCCTCTTCCCCCCACTTCTTCCCCTTTCCCTCCTCTCCCCCCATCCTCCCTCCTTTCCCCCCTTGCATCCCAAGTTACCCTACGTCGACGCATTCACCATCCAAAGAGTCAACCAGACCGAATCGCGACAATTCTAAAAAATTACTTCCCAACTTACCTTTCTCTGCTTATTATTTCCCCCCCTCTTTCTCTCTCCCGTCCTCCCTTCTTTGTCTCCCACCTTACCTCCCGTCGAGGCATTTCGCGTCGAACGAGTTATTCGCCAGCAGAACGAGCCGCGGCGTGGCCGGCGGCGCCGGCGGCGGCGGAGGCGGGTTTCCCGCGAGTAGAGACAGCAAATACTGCAGGAACACGGCGACGCCGCTGAAATCGATTTTCCGGGCGGCTTTATTTCGAAAAGTACTTTGGAGATTGATGCGAGGCATATGGGGGAAGGGAAATCTGGAACGCCATTAGTAGCCTCGGAGTTCGGGCCGAACCCCGAATGCGCCCTCGGAAACCTTAGGTTCCGAACCAATATACCTTCGGATGTTCGGTGAGTTCGCCGACACTCTCCTGAAGTCCCCCCTTCAAGGGTTTTGGAGATCTTTGCCCAGCTCTCCTGCACACAATATTATTCGTGTTGATTCGTTACCAGAACCGGGTAACAATTTAGCTTGTGCTGAAAATAGGTTCGGATGCGCGAAGCCCGAATGCAGGCCGGGGACCTCGGATTCGTGAAAACTTGGCTGGACTAGTATTTCCGAACCAGGGCTTCGGTTTGTACGCGATTCATTGCAGACACAAGAAGGAACTGTGCCTCCTAAGTACAAGGGGTGGTAACGGGGCCAACGGATGTTGGCATGAAATGAAGGTGCGAAGACGATTTACAGTTCATCCGTCGTGACACAAGACGATTCAAGACGGTGCACAACGGTTATTCTGCTTCACCGTTTTGCACCGTGACGCAAACCGCACAGAACGAACGAATGACGAAAGGGCTGGACCCGCCCTACGGAATATGAGTTCCAGGCCCTGTTCTGTTGCCGCACTACTAGTGCGGACCCTCCGCAAAGCACCAGTTGATGCTTCGAAAAGGATTCTACCATCCAACCTCGAAGCTTCAATTACAAGGGCGCGTTCCCAAAAAGAGGCTCGGGACCCTGAACTCCATCCCGAGCCTAATTAGTGCTGCGCTGTGCTGAAGATGCACGGCGGGGGGCAGGAAGATAGCGTGAGCCTTCGAATACTTGGATGCGTACCGAGCCTTCAGCCTCCTGCAGCACAGCTGGTGCTGGCTGTGCTGTCCGCCCACCAGTAGCCGATGGGCAACAGAACAAGGCCCATGTTGCGAGCGAAATGTCCATTAGTACGCTGGCGGTTTCCAGCTTACTCGCGCAACTTCGTGCATGTGCAATTGTTGTGGGCGAAGTGCATCTGTTTGCCGGCACAAGTTGATTCGCCTCCATTCTGCGCTCGCATCATTCTTCGCCACAACCTTTTTCGCGAAAATTGACCACTAGAATCGTATGGGTGGTGGGGGGGTTGTTGATGGTGGTTGCGGAGAGTGTGCTCGCGACTAGCCCCAATTGGCGAGTGGACGAGCTCGACGACGGGAGCCACCACCACCAAGGAAGTTGGCCCTTCCAATGCCATAGGCTTACCGCTAAGATGCTGTTGGCGACATCTGTGCAACCGCAGACCGAGTAACTATTTCAATGTTCGCGTAGCTGCGTTCTCGGTCGCCTCACCTCGCCGTACCTCAGGGTCAACTGGTAACTGCGCTGGCGATTGTGTTCGCCCTCCACCACGCCGCGCCGCAAGTGGATCACATCGCGTCGCAATGTCTCGCACCACAGGCGAATTGCGAGCACCACCACACCAGAGGCAAGTGAGGAATGAGTTTGTGCGGGAGGAATGAGTTGTGCGCGACATTCTTTCCCACCACCCCGCAATCTCACATCTACAAAAACGCAGTCGCATTCACAATCAGAACCAGAAGCAATCGACCACATCCAACACAACTGACAAAGCATTCGGTTGCTAGTAATACCCACTGCAGGCCCGTTTACTGAAACCTCTTAGTCTCACTAGATTCTATCCGGCATTGATCATGGCATTTTCCAAGGTTTCCCTCCTCGTTCTTCTCGTAGCCGCCGCTAGCGTCCTCGGCGTCTCCGGACAGACTGAGCCGTACCTAGTCACCAAGGCCCGTCTGACCCGCTCAGCCGCCGTCAGCGCCACCAGCGACTTCAACAAAGCCAACGCGCTCGTCGCGCAGCGCGCTCAGGAGCTCAACGCCGCCGACAAAGCCCTCGCGGACGCCGCCGCTGCATATAACGACGCGCTACCGCTCGTGAACCGCCTCAAAAACACCCTCGCGCAGAAACTTGCTGCCAAGGACAAAACCGCCTCCGTGATTCCCGACCTGCAGGAAAACCTCGATGCCGCGAAGGCCGGCGTTTCTACGACCAACGGCGCGTCGGGGACGGATTCCACCGATCTTGCATCCGCGGTTGCAAATGCGCAACAGCGTGTGAACATGACGGCGCAGCAGGTTGAAGGGCAGAAGGAAGCGCTTCTGAACGTCAACTCGGCCGTCGCGAAGGCGACTCAGGGCACCGCTAACCCTAACATGACGGCTGCGGAGGCCGCTGTTGCTCAGGCTGCGCTCAACGACAAGACGGCGATGGCGACGCTCGCGAAGCAGATTCTGGACGACATGGTCGCACAGGCGAAGAGCGCGCAGCAGGCGCTGGCGAAGCTCCAGAACGCGGCGAACGGTCCCAGCGCGACTGCGGCGCCGGTGGCGGACAAATCGGCGGTCGACGCGGCGCAGGCGGCGCTGGACGCGGCGGTGAAGGCGGACAATGACGCGGCGGCGGCGGTGGCGCAGGCGACGAGCGACGTGAGCGACGCGCAGGCGTCGGTTCCGGCGCGATCTGCGGCTGTGACGAACGCGAAGATCGCGCAGAGCAAGGCTGTGGCTGCGAAGGCGAGCGCGGATACTGGCGCTGCGGCGATGAAGAGCAGGATGGACGCCGCTGTGGCTGTTGCTGAATCTGCTGAGGCTGGTGCGAAGACTGCTGGTTACTCTTGGACGTGGTAACTCCCATTCGCCGAGTTATGGGGCGCCTCAAAACTTGAAGGGCAGGATGGACGCTGCTGTGGCTGTTGCTGAATCTGCTGAGTCTGCTGCGAAGACTGCTGGTTACAATTGGACGTGGTAACTTTCGAAGGTTGGAAAATTGGAATGATAGACCCCGATGCACTGCAGGTGGGACTGCTGGCTTGAGATTGCATTGCATCCCAATAAATCTTCCAGTCCAGGGTTTTATTGCTTCTGTTTTCGGTGTGTATGGCATGTACGGTAGTGGAACCGAATTCATCTCCTCCTCAGCCTCTCATGATCACGCCTCTTGGTTCAACTCCCAGTGGGGCTCTTCTCATCGCACACATCACCCAACGTACCATCACTCTCAAAGAGATTTTGAGGATCCGAACATATCAAACCAGAAGGAGAAGTGGACATCAGAACCGGGACACCAAAGCAGAAATGATAGCCCTACATTCAGTCATCCTAGTAAGGGCTCTACCGACAGTGAAGGTTCGCTAGAACGAGCGCAAGGATTCATGGTAAGACAGGGGGAATTCACTATGGAAAATGGATGAGTACGGTAAGACATGAATACGGCATCCCAGACTTGCATTGCCGCTTTCAGATGCCTGCATACCCCCAACCCCTTTTCCCTGCCCCAAACACACACCTACTGCCAATCAAAGGCTGCAAGTTGCAACTATGAAGACCAGTCTAGATCGCATGCTGGTTCCAGAACAAAACCTACACTCCCTTCTATACCCCAACCCGCATCTACTGCAAGTCAATGCCGGGAGCCATGAAGAGCCCTCTAGGTCGCATGCAAGAGCAGCCCAATCAACGGCTACCATCCACATCTTAGGGAGCAGGTGCTCGCCATCCGATGGTCCAGATTCTTATGCAATAAAGCGAGGGGAGGGTGTCTTCTGAGGCGTGGTGGGTTTAGAGAGCGCAGGCAAGAGCTGCGCCAATGACCAGCAGGGAAGTGAAGAGACGAGAGACAGTTGCAACAGCCCCTGTAAACGGAGAGCGGAGGAGAAATGGAAGCAAGGAGAGGAAGGAGAGTAAGAGAATACGGCGAGGGAAGCAGGGGGGCGTAGATCTGTGAATGCAGGCGTACATTATATCACGATTTGCTTTTGGAAAAAGAAAAAGGCTCAGAAGCATATCACATGATGCATGGTGTGGCAAGGTGAGTGATGCAGATCGCGCCATGCAAAACCGAGCGTAAAACGAGTTGGTGTAGACAAATTCTGTTGGCTATGGTGGGTGGCCAAGAAAGGTACAGCAGAGACAAGGAGTACTGTACATCGAGTAACAGCAGGAAAGGTTGATCCATGCTGCATACCTGGCAGGGAGGCGATATTGCTGGGGAAAACAAGCGCATTGACGTAGACATAATCCTTCTGGGCCTCCTGGATGACTTTTGAGTCGACTCAAAAGTCACCTGGAAAGGAGTGTATCGAGTAACGAGTTGAGCCATGCTGCGTACCTGGCAGGGAGGCGATGTTGCTGGGGAAGACAAGCGCGTTGACATAGAAATAATCCTTCTGGGCCTCCTGGATCGCTGCAGCAGCAGACGAGGTACCCGCAGCAGCCCCGGACGCGAGCGGGTCGGCGCCGGAAATCTTTCCCGTGTTGCTAGTGTCGCACTTGAAGTTCAGATTGTTACCGTTGAACGCGGTCTTGATGGCGTAGCCAGTGGGGGTACACTGCCATGTCAACAGTGCCAAGTTTGGGGGCGGGCGAGGCGGAAGCAGACAAGGAACACGATGAGTGAGACGACAGCAAGGGGAGAGCAGAGAAGGGACAGAATGAGACGACCAAAGCTACTGGTACAAGTAGTGAAGAGCAAACTGGTAGCAGTAGTATCAGCAGCAGCAGCAATGAGAGCATGCACTTTTGGGGAACACCTGGAAAGATAGTGATAGCACGCACAGCACAGCACGTCAATCGAATCCAATCCAATTCAATCGAACCCGCAACAAGAAAGCGGGACGTTGCGCAAGCCGCGCCGCGGCGCAGAGTACCGTACCTGGTTGTCGAGGTTCACAACCGTGACCTTCGATTCCGCCGTGTGGAACGACATGAGGTTCAGCAGAGCAGTCCGCGCGGCTTCCGACATCGGCGGCGCCTTGGTCGTCTTCGCGTTGCACGCTTTCGCCTTGGCAGCGAGCGTCGCGAGGTCTTTCGTCTTGGCCGTGCTCTTCGCGCGATCCAGCGCGTCCTTCACCTTGTTACCGCTCGCCACCGCATCCAACGCCTCGTACAGCGCGCCGCTGCTCCGCGTCTTCTTGTACCCGGCGAGCGCGTCGCTCCACGCCTGGTTCGTCGGCAGGAAAATCGTCTTCCCGTTCGGGAACTTGCACGCGGCGTTCGCGAGGTAATACAGCACGTCGAACGACTTGGATACGTCCGCGAATTTTATGCCGCTCGCGAGTTTCATCGCCTTGAGAGGGCCGGCGGGCGGCGAGCCGGACGGCGACGCGGCTGCGATCACCTCCTCTAGGGAATAGTCCTGCATGTAATCGTCGTCGTAATACGTGTCCAGGTTGGGTGGGGTGTTCGACCCGCCGGGCGCGGGCTTCGATCCGGGCGCGGGCGATGAGCCGGGCGCGGGCTCTGCGGGCGTCGAACCGGGCGCGGGCTGCGCGGGCGTTGAACCGGGCGCGGGCTGCGCGGGCGTTGAACCGGGCGCGGGCTGCGCGGGTGTTGAGCCGGGCGCGGGCTGCGCGGGCGTTGAACCGGGCGCGGGCTCTGCGGACGTTGAGCCGGGCGCGGGCTCTGCGGGCGTTGAACCGGGCGCGGGCTCTGCGGGCGTTGAGCCGGGCGCGGGCTGTGAGGGCGTTGAACCGGGAGCGGGCTGCGCGGGCGTTGAGCCGGGCGCGGGCTGTGCGGGCGTTGAACCGGGCGCGGACTCCGATCCTGGTGCGGCATCCGACCCGGGTGCGGCTTGCAGAGCCCGTCGACTCGCAACCATGGTATCCGCGGGGTTCGCGGCGGCGAGCGCCAGAAGCGCGGCGCCGGTTGCAAGGAGCAAGAGGGCGGCGCAGGCCACGACGAAGACGAAGCGCGCCGGAGTCGCGCCGGGGTGATTGGCGGCAGCGGCCCACGATGGGGGAGTAGCGCGGGGAGCCATGACCGAGCGTCGGCGGTGCTGAGAAGTCAAATGTGCCGTGCCACCGCGAATGGCGGTGCTGGGGGAACTGAGGTAAAAGGTCACGTCGACTTGGCCAACAGGAAGTAGTAGAGTAAAAGGTGGTCACTGAGGAGAAACGCCGTAGTAGTCTGTCACGCTGGGCCTTGAGGGGCGTTTGACTCAAATGGAAGAGGATAGTTGCACTGCTCTGCTCGCTCGTCGGCGGTTTAAGTAGTAAAGGAGCAGCGGCACGGGTTACGGCCGTGACCGGAACCCAGCGCTGCGCGGCGCAGTTGTCTCCCGCCTCCTCCCGTCCCGTGCTCCCCTGCCAGTTTCCGTCTGCAGAGGCCCTCCGGGCTGTGCGCGCCTGCCATCTGCGCGCATCTCCCTTTTATGTCAACTCAAAAGTCTTTCCGTCTGGGCAGGCCCTCTCCGGGCTGTGCGCCTGCCATCTGCGCGCATCTCCCTTCCCGTGCACCGTGCGCCGTGGCGGAGGTTCATTCGTATCATCGTAGCACGACAATTATTCGTATCGTGTGGTATCAGTTGATGGACGAGGGAGCAGCGCACTGTCGCACCTCGGTTTGATTATTTTCCCCGTCAAATGCGCCGTGCCAACACGGGGCAATAATTTTCGACAATAATCTGATGCTCAAGCGGAAACACGCGGTCCGCGCGGAAACCCCCGATCTCAAGCGGAATGCTCGACTTTAGAAGGCGGAATACTCGACTTTAAGACGCGGAAGCGGTACTTGAGTCAGCTACAGCAGCAGTTGTCTTCTACGAGTTGACCTAAGGCGACTGAATAAGTCTGCTAGCCCGCGTGGAACCTCTATACTACCACTACTGACATGAGGAAAATCTGCCGTGGCGTGGCCTTGTTTTAGAATCGTGATCTGGCGTTGCTGCTGCCTGATTGGTGAAGTACAGTACGGGCGTGTGACGCGAAGCCACACAGGATCGAGTTGAGTTCTACCCAACTCACAATTACAGTATTCCAAGTGAGAGGAACCGAGGCGCGTCCTCATCATTTTTCCCTGGGGTTGAAATTGGAGGGAACAGAGAAACTTCCCGCAATTTCAACAATGTCAGATAGATCTTGGCAGGCTGAGTCAGCATGTTTGAACATTGCTGGCGGGGATAAAAACTCCCAACGCGTAGAGGCGCGCAAAATCCACTGCAAACAGAAATAGCAGGGCGATTCTGCAGATTCGGATATAGTGCACATCAGCAATCCACAATAAAGAAAAAGGCAAGATTGATTAATTCCATTATTTACAAAACAAACTTAAAATAATCGGGTCCATGTCATATAGGAATGCAAAGAAAAACATTATGAGGTTGAAAAAAAACGCGGGTAAAGAGCCGAAACACCACATCTATATTAACATCTAGCTCCAAGATAGCTACCTGTACAGCTAGAAATTCTCTGGACATCCTTTTAGCGGGTTGAGTTTTAAGCTGGACATTCTCTGACAAAAGGCGGGAATGGTTCGTTCAGAGCAGTTCTGTTCCCGCATCGTGACACTGTCGCGACGCGATCTGCGTTATCTAAAATTCGCCGGCAGAATTTACGATTCTTCTCATCACTGGCTTAGGCCGAGTCGCCGACAAATTTTCACATCCCGATTCCAAAGCGCCTCTGTTTGGGGACTTATTCTCGGCCCAGTTTTACGTTCCCGTAACGTCGGGCCGGCCCAACGCGGCTAAGGAACGAAACCGTTTAGGCACTAATTTCCAGGCTGACAGCACGTGCCACTGTTTTCAACCAGATATAGAACCCCCACGTCCTGGGTGGCTGGATCATGTGTGTAGAACAGCCAATGCGGATTCTGTGCTTTCCCGCAACTTGCGTGGACTGGCAGGCAACTCGAGCTCTGCCTCATTTCTCCACAGCTCACATATTATGAGTTATAGCGACACAATCACTGTCTGAGTCATGTTTCTCCTCGTACGAGTCTGTGACGACGGTAGTGGCTTTCTGCCTAATAAACCGGCGTAGCTTAGTAGTAGCTTAGACTACTGGCAAAGTTTAACCTCGAGTTGGAGCCAAGCCATAATGGCTGCAGTCACCGAGCTTCGAGCACGCACTGCAACGGCAAACGGTACTGTTTATACCGGGTACAATCGTGGATTCAACACACACGCTGGGGTTCCAATCATACCAGCGCCTAATGGGGAAATTGGCGCTACTGCTAACAGTAAAGCGGGCCGGAAGTCTGGTTTTAGCGGCGTCGCGGTGTTCCTGCATTACCTAATGTCTCTAATTGCGGGAAAGCCGCTACCACCGCCGGCCAAACCGGCCAAGGCGTCGCCGCCGGTGCCGGCCAATCCGCGGCTCGTCCTGCTGGCGAATAACTCGTTCGACGCGAAATGCCTCGACGGGAGGTACAGAATGAGGGGGAAATGGGGTGGGGGGAAGAGGGGATGAAAAGCGAAGCGAGGTTGTTTGTAAGTCGACTCAGAATAAAGGACGCTCCTTCCGCTGAGCGAGCGAGTAATTGCAAGGCAAGGTAAGTTCTTTTTCTGCTGAGCAAATAGCTCCTCTCCCCCCTTTCCATCCCCCCACCCCCCACTGTCTCTCTCCCCTCCTTGTACCTCATCACCTTTCCCCCATATTCCCCTCCCCCTCCCCCTCCCCCTCTTCTTGAGGCGCCTCATAAATAGACCCCCCTCTGTCGCTCTCCCCTCCTTGTAACTCATCACCTTTCCCCCACATTCCCTCCTCCTCACCCCCCCCTTCCCCCTCCCCTCGCCGCCCCTACGACCTCCGCACCCCAGCCCCCCAGGGTACTATTTCCGCGCGGGCACGGGGGGCGGAAAGAGCATGTGGCACATCTACCTGCCGCACGGGGGGTGGTGCCGCAATGCCAACGAGTGCGTCGGCAGGAGCAAGACAGCTCTAGGCAGCAGCACGTTTTACCCCGACGATCCCACCAACGCGGTATGCTGCTCCCGCCCCCTTAAAGCCCCCCTCTCTACACCCACCTCCCCTTACCTGGACAACGCTCGGTAGCCCTCCCAACCAAACCAGACCCTCTCCCCCGATTGTGTGGTTCTAGTAATTGGTTTGTAAAGATCCCTCCTTGACGTCACCAGTAATCCCTCCTTGTGCCTCCTCCCTCCAACCCTCTCTTCCAAACCAGACCCGCTCTCTCCTTGAGCATTCTCAGCAGCAACAGAAACGCCGACCTGCCCGATTTCTTCTCTTCCCCTGCCCCTTCGGTCCCTCTCCCGCCTTCAGACCATCCCCTCACCGGGTTTCAACGGCATTCTCAGCAGCAACAGCAGCATCAACCCGCCTTTTTACAACTGGAACCTCGTCCGCCTCCTCTACTGCGACGGTGGCGGCTACTCGGGCACGGCAGGGAGGGTAGAGGTCAACAACAGCACAGCCATTTATCTGGATGGGTGGAACATTGTTCAAGCTGTGATAGAGGGTGAGTGGTCCGAGAGGGGGTTTCGTTCGTCTTATCTACTCTCATCTTCTGCGACGGTGGAGGCTACTCAGGCACGGCATGAAGGCTGGACGTTGGCAGCAGTGGCACGGCGATTTACCTGGATGGGCGGAAAAGTGTGACCCTTAGGAGCCTTATTACGGAGAGTAGTGAATAGAACTTCTGAGGAGCCTTTATTATCCCTTCCTCTCAAACTCCTTGGTGCTTTGGTAGCTTTGGTGCTCTCAAAGCCTTTAGTAGCTTTGGTGCTCTCAAAGCCTTTAGTAGCTTTGGTGCTTTCGCTCCACTGTTTCCATCTCCGTCCCCCTAACGCAATCAGATCTGAAATCGAATCGGGGGATCAAATCTGCGGATCAGATTCTCTTGGTGGGCAGCTCAGCGGGCGGCCAAGCAATCGTTGCTTTCTGCGATCGCATCGCTGCCGCCTTCCCCTGGGCCGCAACTAAATGCATCTCTGATTCGGGCTTTTTCATTGGTGAGCTTTCGTTTGTGAACGTACACCGTCACATGTTTGTTCTGCGTGAATTTTGGCCTTGTGTAAATGTCGGGCATGCATCTCTATTACGGTTATGAATCCCAAGTTCGGGCATGAGTCCCTCTTTTGGACATAAATCCATATTTCAGGCATGGATGTCTATTCGGGCATGAATCATTATTTCGGGCTTGAATCTCTATTTCGGGTATGAATCTCTATTTCGGGTATGAATCTTTATTTCGGGCATGAATCTCTATTTCGGGCATGAATCATTATTTCGGGCTTGAATCTCTATTTCGGGTATGAATCTCTATTTCGGGTATGAATCTTTATTTCGGGAATGAATCTCTATTTCGGGAATGAATCTCTATTTCGGGCATGAATCCTTCTTTCGGGCGTGACTCTATTTCGGGCGTGACTCTATTTCGGGCGTGACTCTATTTCGGGCGTGACTCTATTTCGGGCGTGAATCTCTGACTCCAGTTGGTTCAATGGTGTGCCTTTGACTCCACTCGCATCACACACCTGTATTTTGGCCCAGCATGTCTTTCCCATACATCTCTGAGTTCCATACTTGCAGGACCGAGGGGGTGTAACACTTGGCATGCAACAGCAGGAAGGAATTTATTTCGAGTCGACTCAAAAGTCGGCTTCCAGGACCGAGAGGCCACGTTTCCATGTGGCGTGCCACAGCAGAACATTTCCCCGTAACTTCCCACTTCTCCCTCCCTCACCCCCCTCGACTTCACGGCCCCCACCCGCTCTCCTAACTCCTTCGCTCCCTCTCGCTACACTTTCCAGACCCAAGGACCGAGGAGGAGGGACACGTGGCCTCAGCACAGAGCCGTTCCCTCCCTTTTGAGGCGCATCAAAAATCGTCTCTGCACAGAGCCGTTCCCTCCCTCGCACCACACCTTCCAAAGGCTCCAGGGAGTGAGCGGGCGGGTGCACTGGCATGCCACAGGCCCAACCCTTTTCCCCCCCTGCTCACATTCTCTCCCACCCGTGCGTTTCAGACTCCAAGGACCGGTTGGGCGGGAACACGTGGCGTGCCTCGGCTCAGAGCCGCATCTCCCCCGTTTCCCCCCTGCTTCATCCCTGTTTAGCCTCCCCCTCACCACCCCCAACTTCCCCTGTCGACAATTTCAAGCTCCAAGGACCGGTTGGGCGGGAACACGTGGCGTGCCTCGGCACAGAGCCATTCCCTCCGGGCCCCGGCTTTCCTGCGTGACCTCCCTCTTTCCCGCATCTTTTCCCCCCCCCGCATCTTTCCCACACTGCACTATCCAGACTCCAAGGACCGGTTGGGGGGGAACACGTGGCGTGCCTCGGCACAGATGCTGGTGGATTTTCACAAGCCCAAATGGACTGACTGCATGGATGGTGAGAGAAAAAGATAGGACAGATTGTGAAACGGACACAAGTTGTGAGTGGGTTGTGAGACGTGGGTTATGTAGGCAACATTCACCCTGACTCATGTTTCGAAGGGCTGCAGTATTAGAGAGGACGCTTAAGCAAAGCCTCCTTGCGTAACGGACACACGTTGTGAGTGGGTTGTGAGACGTGGATAATGTAGTCAACATTCTGTTGAAGTGGGGTTTTATATCAGCACAGAACCATCCATCGATAGAACCATCCATCGATAGAACCATTCATCCATAGAACCATCCATCCATAGAACCATCCATCCATCCATCTGTGTAATAAATCCTCTTCCCATGGGACGTTCTTCCATATTGTCACTTCTCATTCCCTCCCTGAACCCACCACTCTCCTGCTGTTTACTCCCTCTTTCCTCCTACCATACCCCCTCTTCTCCCTAATGCTTCCTACCCTCACGCACACCCCTTTTCCCTGTGCCATGGCGTTCCCCCACCACCCCTACATCTCCCACCTGTTCTCCCCCCCCTCTCCCCCCATAACCATTGCATAACTCCAGCCTTACCAGATACTGATCACTGGAAGTGTTTTTTTCCGCAGTACACTCTGGAAAACGTTACAATGCCTATCTTTCTGTTCCGTACATTCTTCGACATTAACGCGAATATGCTCGGCGGGCTGCTGCCGCGAAACACTACATACGCTTATGCATGCTTGAATGAAGTGGCGTGGTTGGGCACAGGGATTATAGCGAGAAAGGAGTGGAACAACACGGTGTGGAAAACGAATTACTGTACAGCGGGAGAGAGGGACGCGTTGTTTGTTGCGGCATCTGTTCTATATGACGAACTCGAGAGGGTTACTGGAAGTGGAAACACTGTAGCTGCGTTTGTGCAACCAGGAATGGCACACGTAGCACTGTGTTACAACTCATGGACACAAGCAACGATTCGGGGAATGTCGGTAGAGTCTGAAATAGTACGCTGGTTAGCAGATGAAATGTCTGATAGATTTGTGCATAAATAAGCCTTTGATTAAGTGTTCATACATGTCAGTTGCCCATATGCTACGGATTGGCAGCAGCAGCGAGCAATCAGTTGCAACCATACCGCCACAGGTGCATGAGCCGCGAGCATTACCATCCACGAACGTCCACTATCAATATTATAGGTACTACCGATATAGTAGTATTCGTTGTAGAATAGAACATGCACTAATATGTGATTACAAAGTCCTATTGTATAGCAAGACATGGCAAGGAAACCTAGCTAAATGGGGGCAAAGGGCTGGCCGCGCAAAGCCCAAATGCTATTTGTGGTGCTCCCTAGGACCTATCTGGGCAAATATGCTATGGCTACCTACGATCATGCACCCTTTATAATTGGCTTATATATGAACAAACCTGTTAGGCATTTCATTTCCAAGCCACTGTATTATTGCAGACTCTACCGAGACTCCTCGAATCGTGATATTCGTCCACTAGTTGTAGCACAGCGCCACGTGTAACATTCCAGGTCGCACAAACGCAGCGACAGTGTTTCCGCTTCGGATAACCCTATCCAGCTCGTCATGCAGAACCGACGCCGCAGCAAACAGCGCGTGCCTTTCTCCCGCCGTGCACTGATTCGACTTCCACACAACCTTGCTCCACTCCTTTCTCATTATCATCCCTGTAGGCGCCCACGACACTTCTTGTAAGCAGTTGCCAGCGTAAGTAAGGCTATTGGGTAACAGCCCGCCAATCATGTTCGCGTTAATGTCGAAGAATGCACGGAACAGAAATATCGGGGTTGCAACGTTTCGCAGTATGTACTGTGGAAAAAAACACTTCCAATGATCAGTCTCTGGTAAGGCTGATAGTTTTTTTTATGGAAATGGAAGAAGAGGTGGGGGAGAATAGGAGGGAGATGTAGGGATGGTGTGGAAACACAATGACACAGGGAAAGGGGATGGGAGTGAGGGGAGGAAGCATTAGGTAGATGGAAAGAGGTAGTAGAGGACAGGAGTGTGGGGGCGTGGCCAAGGAGGAAATGAGAAGTGAGATGATTAAAGTAGAAAACGCTTCGTGAAAAGAAAAGCTTCAAACACAGATGGATGGAAGCTGATATACAAAAGCTTCTGTGCTGAACCAAAACCCCACTGTAACAGAATCTGATTACAAAATCCACATATAACCCCGCTCTCAAAACTTTTGAGTCGGCTCAAAAGTCAAATCCACATCCAACCCTCTTAAAGCTCATCCAATACCAGCAAACCCATAGCAGGCAGCACCTAGTGCTGACGGATGCCGTGTTTCACGGCTCATCTCAAGCCGCTCTTCGAAGTGTCATATCCCGTCTCACCATGCATGCAAACAGGCCAGCCGGGCTTGTGCAGATCAACCAGGCTCTGAGCATAGGCACGGCATGTGGTAACCCTGTAACCCAGTCCATGCATTGCATCTCATCTCACCATGCATGCAAACAGGCCAGCCGGGCTTGTGCAGATCAACCAGGCTCTGAGCATAGGCACGGCATGTGGTAACCCTGTAACCCAGTCCATGCATTGCATCTCATCTCACCATGCATGCAAGCAGGCCAGCTGGGCTTGTGCAGATTAACCAGGCTCTGAGCATAGGCACGGCATGTGGTAACCCTGTAACCCAGTCCATGCATTGCATCTCATCTCACCATGCATGCAAGCAGGCCAGCCGGGCTTGTGCAGATCAACCAGGCTCTGAGCATAGGCACGGCATGTGGTAACCCTGTAACCCAGTCCATGCATTGCATCTCATCTCACCATGCATGCAAGCAGGCCAGCCGGGCTTGTGCAGATCAACCAGGCTCTGAGCATAGGCACGGCATGTGGTAACCCTGTAACCCAGTCCATGCATTGCATCTCATCTCACCATGCATGCAAGCAGGCCAGCCGGGCTTGTGCAGATCAACCAGGCTCTGAGCATAGGCACGGCATGTGGTAACCCTGTAACCCAGTCCATGCATTGCATCTCATCTCACCATGCATGCAAACAGGCCAGCCGGGCTTGTGCAGATCAACCAGGCTCTGAGCATAGGCACGGCATGTGGTAACCCTGTAACCCAGTCCATGCATTGCATCTCATCTCACCATGCATGCAAGCAGGCCAGCTGGGCTTGTGCAGATTAACCAGGCTCTGAGCATAGGCACGGCATGTGGTAACCCTGTAACCCAGTCCATGCATTGCATCTCATCTCACCATGCATGCAAGCAGGCCAGCCGGGCTTGTGCAGATCAACCAGGCTCTGAGCATAGGCACGGCATGTGGTAACCCTGTAACCCAGTCCATGCATTGCATCTCATCTCATCTCACCATGCATGCAAGCAGGCCAGCCGGGCTTGTGCAGATCAACCAGGCTCTGAGCATAGGCACGGCATGTGGTAACCCTGTAACCCAGTCCATGCATTGCATCTCATCTCACCATGCATGCAAGCAGGCCAGCCGGGCTTGTGCAGATCAACCAGGCTCTGAGCATAGGCACGGCATGTGGTAACCCTGTAACCCAGTCCATGCATTGCATCTCATCTCACCATGCATGCAAGCAGGCCAGCCGGGCTTGTGCAGATCAACCAGGCTCTGAGCATAGGCACGGCATGTGGTAACCCTGTAACCCAGTCCATGCATTGCATCTCATCTCACCATGCATGCAAGCAGGCCAGCCGGGCTTGTGCAGATCAACCAGGCTCTGAGCATAGGCACGGCATGTGGTAACCCTGTAACCCAGTCCATGCATTGCATCTCATCTCACCATGCATGCAAGCAGGCCAGCCGGGCTTGTGCAGATCAACCAGGCTCTGAGCATAGGCACGGCATGTGGTAACCCTGTAACCCAGTCCATGCATTGCATCTCATCTCACCATGCATGCAAGCAGGCCAGCCGGGCTTGTGCAGATCAACCAGGCTCTGAGCATAGGCACGGCATGTGGTAACCCTGTAACCCAGTCCATGCATTGCATCTCATCTCACCATGCATGCAAGCAGGCCAGCCGGGCTTGTGCAGATCAACCAGGCTCTGAGCATAGGCACGGCATGTGGTAACCCTGTAACCCAGTCCATGCATTGCATCTCATCTCACCATGCATGCAAGCAGGCCAGCCGGGCTTGTGCAGATCAACCAGGCTCTGAGCGTTGGCACGGCATGTGGTAACCCTGTAACCCAGTCCATGCATTGCATCTCATCTCACCATGCATGCAAGCAGGCCAGCCGGGCTTGTGCAGATCAACCAGGCTCTGAGCATAGGCACGGCATGTGGTAACCCTGTAACCCAGTCCATGCATTGCATCTCATCTCACCATGCATGCAAGCAGGCCAGCCGGGCTTGTGCAGATCAACCAGGCTCTGAGCGTTGGCACGGCATGTGGTAACCCTGTAACCCAGTCCATGCATTGCATCTCATCTCACCATGCATGCAAGCAGGCCAGCCGGGCTTGTGCAGATCAACCAGGCTCTGAGCATAGGCACGGCATGTGGTAACCCTGTAACCCAGTCCATGCATTGCATCTCATCTCACCATGCATGCAAGCAGGCCAGCCGGGCTTGTGCAGATCAACCAGGCTCTGAGCATAGGCACGGCATGTGGTAACCCTGTAACCCAGTCCATGCATTGCATCTCATCTCACCATGCATGCAAGCAGGCCAGCCGGGCTTGTGCAGATCAACCAGGCTCTGAGCATAGGCACGGCATGTGGTAACCCTGTAACCCAGTCCATGCATTGCATCTCATCTCACCATGCATGCAAGCAGGCCAGCCGGGCTTGTGCAGATCAACCAGGCTCTGAGCATAGGCACGGCATGTGGTAACCCTGTAACCCAGTCCATGCATTGCATCTCATCTCACCATGCATGCAAGCAGGCCAGCCGGGCTTGTGCAGATCAACCAGGCTCTGAGCATAGGCACGGCATGTGGTAACCCTGTAACCCAGTCCATGCATTGCATCTCATCTCACCATGCATGCAAGCAGGCCAGCCGGGCTTGTGCAGATCAAC